CCGTAAATATCACTTATAGTATGCTACAGTCTGAAACATGACGTAATACATAGTGGCACATCACAGTCTGATAATCTGGTAATTTGCTTCGACTGACAAAACAAATTTGCGCGAGACAAGATTTGGTGTAACACCAGAGTGCCTGGGCCTAAGATCCTACCACTAACCTGAACTGAATTTACAGGTCATTTATAATGCGGCCACGTCGCCGACTGCAGCTCAGAGTCATGGAGGAACAAATCACAAAAGCTGCTTGGACCCCTCACACAGCTAGGAAAACATGTGCATGGCAGAGCGTCGATTGCCACGCGATTGTACGGGTGATGGCATTAAATATCCGTAAAAGTTTCAGCGCCCGAGTTAACTCTTTGATAGGAAAATCGGAACGTCATCTATTCCCGAGATATTTCGGGAATGGTCGTTAAGCGGTTAAGATCCCGTAGTTATTTTCAGTAGTTGTACTCAAATTACATTTAATCACCAAAAATGTGTACCAAGAAGGTCAAGTTTCTTGCATTAAAAGAGTAAATTCAAGATGCATACTGATACCGCCCGGGCGCACAAGTTTTCTTAAACCAGTGTTAAGATTCTTTTACCTGAAATTAATTAACATAGATTATTTTAAAATATTTGTTATATTTACTTCAAATGATATTCTGATAACAGTTTTCCGAATAAAACAACATTTACGTGAAATGTACAATTAAACACATAAGCACAAAGCCCCATATAGAATACTTGTCTCCATATTATATTTACAGCCTTGAAATAAAATACAATGAACAAACGTAAGAGTTCATTGAAGCAACGGATTGCCAGTATCATCTTCCAGTTTACATTACCTCACATGAATTGCGTATCTGTGAGTGCATTACGTATCATTATGTGTGTTATGTGCATGTTTCTTGTACGGTAATAGAAGAAACCACGAAAATCTACAAGCATCAGAGATAAGAAAATAATTAAAATATCCTCTTGCAACCATTTGGTCAATACCGATTTATACAACAGGACAGAAGAAGATGAAAAAACCTATGATTAAAAATACTCAGTCAGAAATTTCCTCAGTATTCTGCAAAATATGTCGTTTTAACGGATTTATTAGCAATTTTATCGTATTTTATTATTTGAATTTAACATTTTGGTTGATCGATTATAAGGTTCTTTATCTGTCCTTTCCGGATGTCTCTGTGGTGTAAATAGAAGCATGCCCAAAGCGTGTTCGACAGATTTGAAGTTGGAATCTCACTGAGAGCACTGCGGATTTCTTCAATTTCTCGATATGGAAGAATTCTAAGAGATTCTGCAAGCATCGCCTGAACTAAAAAGGTGGATGATAATCCGTCACCATTAAAATTTTATCGACTAGATCTAGAATTCAACTAAGTCTCCTCCTCCTTAGTCGCACTTTAAAGGAGCGAGTATATAAGGTATTTTTCTCCCTCCTTTGCGCGTGCCTTATAGTGCAACTCAAAGCAAAGCACGCTTGACGCATATTCGGGAGCTCCGGAGTTCAAATTCCGGCGAGGGAATTGTGCATTTTAGAAGTTCCTGCATTGAATAACCTAATGACTCTACATATTACTCGTATTACTCTACTTACTGCTCTACATATTATTCATATTAATAAAAATGGGTTGCTTCACCGGTATGTTGGTAAACTTAGGCTGATGCATTTCCATTCTATTGTGGAGGGATTCGAATACAAAGGAAGATACGTGGGATTATAACTACAATGCATTTGCTGAATGTAGGGACTTAAAATCAGTTGGACCGGAAGCCCTATCTAGTTTTTGATGATAAGGAAAGAGGTGTACAAGACCTTAAGTTTCCAATCTACGGGTGATTGAATGCTTTCCTTAAATCAAATAATACAACATAATGATTTCGTAGCTGATTCATTTATGAAGAAGCTGGAAATTTAAGTGCTAGTGTCAATTATTACAAATATACCATTCACTCAATACTTTCTCAATATCAAAAAAAAAAAAAAAAAATCTATGATCAGTGTACTGGCATATTACTTTGAAGCAGGAGACGTGAAAAATGGGCAATGCCCTCTGCGAGACTCGAACCTGGACCTCTCGAATACGTGCAGAGTGTGCTACCGTTACACCACGAAGGCATGTTGGAAGGAGGAATAAAATATCTTATAACAGTTTTAAAATAAAATAAAAATCACAGTATAAGTATCTGTATAAGGTATTTTCTCCCTCCTTTCGGCATGTCTTCGTGATGCAACGGTTAGCACACTGGGTGCGTATTCGAGAGGTCCACGTTCGAGTCCTGGCGAGGGCATTGCTAATTTTTCTTGTCTTCTGCTTAAAAAAAAAATAAAACCTAACGACTCTATATTTGTTCATTTGTTCCTATACATACACAGTATGTTTCGTAGCTTCAGTTTTAATGCTGCTACGACACTAAAAGCTGTTTTAATCTTTCCAAAACTATTTTAAACATAAATATCCCCCCTAAAATAAAAAGTAAAAAAACTATTCTTGTCTAGCTATCCTCCAGCTGTCCTTATCTGCTGCCCAAACTCGGAGCCTCCTTCCTCTAAGCCTTCCAAAGTCGCATTTCAGAAGTAATACCTTAACAAGTATCATGTGACTTCTTTCTATGTGTAGCCTTAGGATTTTATTTTCAGACCACTTAATTAGAGCTAATGGCCGCCTTTCTCTCTGATCACCCTATCATTACGAGCAAAGCTACAACTTCGGCAAGCCACTTGCAACTTTTACCACAAGAGGGAGTCGGTCGTTAGATCCCTCTCAGTTGTTAGGATAGAATTAGCACGCGGGGATGTTCGATTAAATTAGAACGTCCATTAGTTTTACCTTCCCCCCACACCCTTACAAGCCTACTTCGTGCTTTTGTTGCCACTTTTCTTCTTGCGAGTTGCACTGATCGAAGTTCGGGAGGGTGGATGTTAAATGTCTCTAAGTGCTTCTTTTGCTTGAGATGAATCCAGAAGAAAATTTTCAGCTACTGAGCATTAAGAACAGAAGGCAAAATGTAAACTTAGAGTGCGGACTGCTTTAATGAATGCTTTGTACGTTTATCACTTCTAAAAGCTTCGGTTTAAGAACCTACTTTTCTTTATTCAAATATTTTTCTCCCGTAAGAGAAAAGGCTTTGAATATTCATGAGCTTTTATGGCTCTCTCTCTCTTCCTTGTGTAATACACGCATTTGCCAAGGGAAAATAAAGCAGCGCGGATTTAAAAAAGATGTAAATGTTTCCGCAGTTTGTGTTTACCCTGATTCACTTAGAAGAGAAGTACGTCATAAATAATTTAAGGTCGCATGTACTTCTAATTTTTTAACTCTCCCGGGTTTTCGGTTTATAGTGTATTTAATACGCGCCTAAGGGGATGCGTCCGTTTAGTGAAATTTTCGAAGATGCAAGAAATTCCCATTTGGTGTTTATTAGTAGTAAATAACCATGCTTGCTTTAGAAGATCCATAAATGTGTTTATTAATATTTAACAGGCATCGGTTTTTGTTGAATAGGTTTTTATTTTATACTAAAATTCCAACAATGACAGTATTAAAAGAATATAAAATACCAAACATTACTTATAAAACTTTATTGTATTTGGATTATTTTAGTGCTCAGTATATATTACTTTTAATGATTTTGTAGAGTCATTAGATTTTTTTATGTAGGAGACGTGAAGAAATGTGCAGTACCCTTACCGGGACTCGAACCTGGACCTTCTGAATACGCGCCGAGTGTGCTACCGTTACACTACGAAGGCATGCTGGAAAGAGGGAGAAATTGCCTCATATACTCTCCCTTTTTAAAGGCAAATGGGGAGGAGGGGACCCAATCGTCAAATTCTGGCGGTCACCACCTTTTAGTTCGGACATCACTGTAACGTCATTAGATCTTTCGAAGCGGGAGACATACAAAATTAGTCATCCCTTCCCGGGGACTAGAACTTGGACCCCTCGAATACGCGCGGAGTGTACTCAAATCACAAAGGCATGCTGGAAGAAGGCAGAAGAATACCATATAATCTTAAATATTATAATTTGTTTTCCATAAAATTTTCAATGTACATGTAATTTTCAATGTGGTGGTTGAATCTTTAGCTAATTAACCATTTGGTCAAAATGGTCAAACCAGACTGACATTTAATCATTTCATCACATCATTTTCAGGTTCTATGATAAAGATAATATTCTGTTAGCATGGTGGTAGACGAACCGGTTATCATAGAACCCTGGGCTCAAACGTCAGTTCCGGAGAAGACTTGAATATTTTTAGTTATCTTTCATCCATGCTCGTGGTCGTGATATCATTCTATTCTATGCGGTGCAACCTGTGCAGCATAGAATAGAATTTATTTGTTTAATTCGTTTTACACATCGTTTACGATTTATTATAGTATTCAAATAGAACTCGTGGTAATTCTTCAGATGATATAACTTTTGTGCACTCTGAGTTATAAAATGAATGAGATGTAATGCTGTTAAGTGAGCCTAGCTCTGAGGTGTCGCTATGGTAAATAAATATAGTGAATTTTAAAGATTGCATTTATTCTATTGTATTTATGCGCTATCGACGAAGTAGATTTAATTCGAAATTCGTTAACCTTTAGTTCAATATGTTTAAATAAAATGCAGGAAAACTGCTTAAAATTTTATATTCCGTACAAGAAAGTCATCGGGTGTACACATCATATTTTTTTTATTAGTTATACGATTACGAGCACATTCGCTAAAAAAACATATATTTTGGGTATAATAAACAGGTAATGGATTCATGGCTGTGTGGCATAATGTATTATTATCTAACAATGCATAGGAGCTTTGAAATAAATCCTAAGATTAAAGATAAATATGTGCAGTAACGTATTATGATGTACAAAACAAAGACCTTCTTTTGCTTAAAATACTTGATAATACTCTTTAAGGTAAATGAAACATTATTCAAATTAAAACTACAATATGCAGTTTTAAACTATTTAAATGATCAATTTCTTTTTCTTTCAGATTCCCTGAGAGCATCAGTCTATCCCGAAAAATTAATCGTCAAAGAAGGAATTAGCGTTACATTTACGTGCAATGTCACAGGGCCCCAAATAACATCCCTCGTCTGGACCAAGAACCTGAAACCAATCATTACATCTGCGAGAACTAAGTTAATCAGTTCTGAAGTCCTTCAAATATATTCTGTGCAGAGGGATGACAAAGGAATGTATCAGTGCTTTGTACGAAGCAATGACCACTCAGCTCAAGGTGCTGCTCAACTTAGCTTAGAAGGTAAGTAATTCAAGCATGTTTATGAATAACACTCAAGTAAAGGTTTGTTAATTTTATTGCTGTAAACATTTTCTGTATTTTCCTTAGGTGGATAAAAAGCTTATCTATCAATGCAGTAAGCGGTCAATTTTTTGTTTCTTAAATACTTGAAAAGTTTTCAAGGAATTCAGATTAACTTTTAGATGGTTTTGCTGTGTGTTGAGTAAAACGCACACTGCGGAAAAAAAAAATTCACTTCAGTAAGTATTAGTAAACTGAATAAATAGGTCATAAAAATTTTACATACCTCTGGGCAGTAGTTCCTAAGAAGAGATACATCGGCTATTAAAAAAATCACATTTGGAGAAAAACGCATTTTTATGCGAAAATCCTCGATTTTGATGGTAAATTAAAACTACATTTGATAGTAAATTAAATCTAAACTTTTTACAGATCTAATTTTTATAGAGGTTAAAGTATGATATTTTTAAAAAGCTAAAAGCATTGAGAATTTGAAAATGCAATAATTCAAAATTACCACTTTTTGAAGATTTTTGGTTTCCAACGCTCCTCAAAGTTTTACGATTTGCATAAACACTCACACTTTCTGGAATAGGTAGAATTGGATAAACCATTCAACCCTACCACAAATTTACAATCGAACTTTTCCCTTTATTTCTAATAGGTACGAACTTAAGGCGACTGAGAACATTTTCAATTTTGAAATAATAAGGAAATTATACTTCTGCGATTCTTTATAAAAATATACATTTAGCTACAGAAATGTAAGTTTATTCATAGGTCAGTAAAATACTAAAACTATATATATATATATATATATAATAAATCCCAATTTACTGCGCCGAAATAAATTCATAAACTTTTTACGCTTGTTTCACAGCGCTTATTATGCCCATCTTTGTTTTTATCGTTTAAGATAAAACAAATAATGATAAGCTTTCACAATATAAATAAAGATATGATAAGCTTTCCCAATAAAGAGGTAAAGGTAAAGGTAAAGGTAAAGGTAAAAGTATGGGGGACACCAGCGATGTACCATAGGTCAACTGGTAATGCCTTCTCATACTAACTAATAACTCCCAATAAAGAGGGTTAGCCAGTTCACTGCTACAGAAGTCATGTTGCTGTGTTGTTGTTGTGACTTATCTCCTTTGCGTGACAGTGATATTAGAACAAGCCCACGAAATTCTTCGTGGCAGGAAGTGCAAGACTGCTCCTATGCTTGGCAAGAGCATTGATTTAACACCATACAGGTACAATGCCACTTTGCTCAGTCGCGCCCCCAATTTTGAAGAATAGCTTTCCGGGGAAACGGGTTTGAGGGCTTTCTACTCCTCTTTCCCTACCATCAACCTCTCAAGGAAACTTTCGACTCGCAACATATTTACAGTGCCGCCATCTCGCTACAAATTTACAAAGATCAGTGCCCTTCTCTGGAAATTCGAACCAGCGCTTTTCTTTACAGTAATCAGCATCGCTAACCACTATCCCTGTCGGACAGCACAGAAATATTTAAATTTAGGTTATTTAATTACGGCAAAGCCTCGAGTACTATTTTCCTAAGGGGAGGGATGCCTTCGTGGAGGACTTTCTAAGGGAAACTGGCTCGTATACACGTCACACATGGGGAAAACCACGAAAACACCCATGCAGCCAGCCCGTTCGCAAGATTCGAACCTCGGACCGAACTACCAGTGTTCAACGACTTTACCGCTCGGCCGCTGGTGGACCCAAAATATTTAAGTAGTCAAACTGCAAGAGCATTTTTATAACTTATTACGTGCTCCGTTCTTAGGCACTACAAGGAAAGAGAGGAATGCTCCGTGGAGGACGTTTTAAGGGACGATGGCTCGTATCCACGTTACACATGATAGAAAACCTTGAATACGCCCATGCAGCCGGGACCCCGGGACTCGAACCCCGGACCGAATTACCAGTGTTCAGCGGCTTTTACCGTTCGGCCGCGGTGGGTTGTAAAAGCATTTCAATCAAAATTTTCCACAAAGGTAGCCAATTTGCAAGAGTATCTCAAACAAAATTTTTGATTAAGCTGAACAGAAAACAGGAGATGAAAGATTAGTAAAGTGAGGACCTCAGTCTTCAGATATAATACTGTGCGATGTTTTCTTACTAGGTTTTGTTGCAAAATTGACTTTAATTCCGTTCGTCTTTAATCTGTAATATTTTCCCACAACCGTATCACGGATGCTTTACGGATACATTGTAATAGCAACGCGTGTACGGAATGAAATTGTTTTTAATAAATCTGTCTACTGTATCTGGATAGCCTGATACATGGAGTATTAATGAAATATGTAAAAAACTAATCTATATTCTTTCTAAAATGCTTACGTCTATTTCAAAGTAATAAAATTTTAGAGCTGTAGTATAATTTGTTTGTTATGATTTTAAAATATGTGCCACATTTAGCGTTATTAATAACAAGTATAACCATAAAAAACACCTACCCCCCCAAAAAAACGCCTGGGACAAAAGTGATTAAATATATGAACACATAATAACAGGTTTTTTTTTAAATTACTTTAAGCATATTTTTCTTAAATACATTTTTAATGAAATATAAAAAGAAAATACTGCACCACTAGGAATTATATATTCCATTTTTAGACTTAAATAATCAAGCGCTACCGTGGCAATCTTTTGCATTTTATAAAATTCAATTAATGCATATATATATATATATATATGCTTAATTCCTGATATTTTGCCGATCTGATGAAGGAGCTAAATTTTATTAAATAAATAAAGCATTTATGCAGAAGATTACAAAACGGTGATAAGAATTTATTTATTCGAATTCAAGAATTTATAAAAACGATATAGAAGTAGTTTACCAGTAAAACTTATAGATCATTTAGAGATTCTATCAATTACTAAGAAACCTTGGCTTTGCCCAGTCAGCAACTAAGAATACAATAAGCAAATCTATTCTCTATGCAGAATCTAAAAAGTATATTTCAAATTTCCAATCTGAAATAATTATCTTTTCCTTCAAGTCTTAAAACAATTACACAAATGAAAGGAAATCAAAGTATCTTTTTAATATCTTCGGAAGTTAAGAATTATTCGAAATAAATACAGAAAATTGGGAATATCATTAGAAAATGTTATTTCGTTACAAGTGGCAGCTCTCAGATTTCTACTTTATTTATGAAACAAAGTTTTGTCGTTAAATAAAATGCAGTCTTCAAGGCCTTAAAAATTCAAAAATCCTATAATGTTATTTATTCATTTGACAGTATATTAATAAATTATATAAAGTATTCAAATTTAAATTGCTAAATGTAAGTACTTTTTTAATTTGGTAAGTAATCATATAGTTTTTATCATCAAATTCCCTTAATATTTGTAAATAATTTTTTATGTCAGACCTTTGAGCAGCACGATTTGGTTATTGCAGAAATGGACAGAATAACCTTGCCAAAGCCCCAGTAAACAAAACGTTAGCAGTATTTCATGAATCTATCTATATCTGATGTAAACAACACATGATTTCCTTGTATAGCCTATTAAATTATACATATTTTATTGTACTTCATTCATTTAAACTTATTTCCTATAATTTCATTAGATGTATATTTCTCATTCAATCAATTCAATTCTCGGCAAGGCAAAACTATGTAAAAACTCAAAACAAAGAAACCTAAAACACCAGATAAAGTTAGAAACATTTAATATTTTTGCAATTAAGATTAAAATGTATATGAAAAAACAAACAGTTTGGCCAACTGATAGAAAGACCAAATTTTCAGTGCGGCCAATTGAAAATTAACATTCAAAATGTTAAAAGACGCTGAATTTGGTGCACCAACTGACTTAATTCACAGTTTTACAAAGAGTTTCAAATAAACTCAAATGGCGCCCTCGTCTGACCCAGTGCAAATTAAACTTTTAAAATATTTATAATTCTACAACTCTTGTAGAAAAACTAAAACATTTTTAACTAATTTAACATTTTTAACTCAAGTCATAAAACCCTGAGCCGGAACATAAGAACAACTTAATTCAATCACTTTTAAAACGAAAAATGTACGATTTGCCTGCATGTAAAATAAAGAAAAAAGAGTTCTCGAGCAGGGTTAAGAGGGTGGGTATGCATACACATAACGCACAGACGCATATATATACACGTTTTGTGCGACGAATTATAACAAAAAAGGGAGGTGCACAACTACATGTTACAGCAGTTTATATACAAAATATCAACGTTCTACGGCTAATCGTTTATGATTTATTACAAGATACTTACGCATGTACGCCATGAAAAAATATCACTTCTAAATCTATTTTAAATGTATTTTACAATCCGTTTCAAAAACACATTATCCTTTGTTTTGTTTCTACAAATGTCAAGCAAATAAAATCATTCAAATGGATTCGAGAACGCTCAAAATGGATGTTTTCTTTTAAATATGGTACCCGACATTTTTCGCAATAACAATACTTTCTTTGGTTCGTACAAGGAATTAAAAATAAAACTTTGGTATACATTACTTAAAAATTTACATTCAAACGTTTCTCTTTATTTCTGAAAAGAATGAACTAAATGATTATGATATATTTTATGATAAATTTTATATCGCATTTTAACTCAAAATTTGCTGTTTTTCAAAACATATATCTATAAAGTATAAACTTAAGTATCTATAACATATATAAGCGTATAAACGTACAAATTGTAAAATTGATTATAAAATAGATGTATATTTGCATTTGGGTAAATCAATGAGTGGAAGATTCTGTACTTCTCTTGTATAAAAAATGTGAGATAAACAAATAGTTAAGCTCAAGATAGAAAATAATTTATCTCTACATGTTACTCAGTGTCAAAGTTCTGTTATTCTTATCATTATTTCTATATTAAATCATTATCATTATTTCTATTATTAAATAATCTTATCATTATGTCTATTATTAATAAAGAAATAATGAAATAATGATAATAAAATTCTCATTATTTCTTCTTTTATTAATTAAAAGCAATTTTATCCAAATTCTCTCCGTATGAATTCGAATAGTTTTTATTTGCAATACAAAATTTTTGAATACCTCTGCAAAATTTCGATAATCTGAA